ATTCCTAAAATCAGTGTGCTGCCCGCATTTGATCTCGAAGAAACACTGCACTCTTTTTCACCTAATTACTTTGCTCGATCCGATTCTGTTCATCCGGTTTGATCGCAAACTAATCAAGTTCACTTTCTGCGCGCTCCAAATACTCCTTATTCCTCACAGCTAAAAACTGAACCTTTAATGCCCGAAACTGACCCATATGCCCGCTATAAAAGGAGAGAGAAGTTGATCTACTTCACAGCGTTGTGGCCTTTTCTTCCAATTGTGTGAATAAATTCCAAGTTTCCTTTATTCACAAGATGAAGGTCCAAACCGCGACTATGGTCGCGTCCTCTGTTTCTGCTGTCACACTAGCTGCATGCATGGTGGCCATGTTCTTCATCTACTCAGAAGTAGCCGGTTTCTGGATCGAACTCGAAAGAGAAGTCGGTAACTTCAAGGTAAGCGAAATACTAGGTTTTGACGTTGCACACTGATGCAGCATTCTTCAAGGTTTTTCAGGTAACAACTGACGACCTGTGGAAAGACATTATGAGCATTGGTGCTGTTGGAAGAGTTCGGCGTCAGTATGAAAGTGCGCTTATCAATAGGCCTACCAACGACGGAGCACCATCAACCCCACCTGTCAATCCTCCCTCCACTCCACCAGTCTTCGCAAACCCTGGAGCAAACTCAAAATGTAACTGCAATGCCGACAATAAATGCCCAAGAGGTCCACCGGGTCCAAAAGGAATTCCGGGTACACGTGGCCCTGAAGGATACCCTGGCCTCGACGGAAAGCCAGGGGTTCATTCAGAGGACATTGCTCCGCAACGAGATACTAGCGGGTGCTTCAACTGTCCCAGTGGACCACCTGGAGCTCCAGGTGCGCTGGGTCGTCCAGGACCTCGTGGACTTCCAGGACCAAAGGGCCAGGACGGCAACCCCGGACGGGACGGAATGCCAGGAAATTCTGGAGAACAGGGACCTGCTGGTCCAGCTGGAAAGATGGGCGATGCCGGACCTCCAGGTGAAAAGGGTCGAGATGCCGAGCATCCTATCGGTAGACCAGGGCCAAAGGGAGAGCGTGGAGATGTAGGCTTGCCTGGACCGGCTGGACTCAACGGTCTTACTGGAGCTAATGGAAGGCCCGGACCAGTAGGACCTCCCGGACCAGCTGGGAATCCAGGCCCACAAGGCT